GCTCACAGATTTTTGTCTTCGCTCAGGAAGGATGGCTCCAGAGCAGACTCATTTATGCAGTAGCCAGATCGCTCGCTCACAGCTTTAATGCCAGTAGCTCACAAAGTAGAGTGTTTGCTCACAAGACTCCACAGCTTAGAGGGAACATTGGTTGGCAACCCTACCTATGCCCTGAAACTCTTGCTATTGTCATTTGCCTGCTATTGTCATTTGGCATCTGAACACTCTCCAAGATATAAGGTCAGGTGGACTCACATTCTAGCGGTATCTGAAGAAGTGAGCAGTGATTCACAAAAGCTCCTCCCCTGTCACAAATGTTGCCAGTCTTTAAGGTGCTACTGGACTCCTGCTCTTTTCAAAGGTATAAAGACTAACAGAATCTATGGCAGGGTATGAACGTCCGTGAGTCAATACTCACTTCTTCAGATGAGCAGTGACTCACATGAGCTCCTACCCTGCCATGGACTTACTTAGCCTGGAAGGTGCTACTGGACTCTTGCTCTTTTCTAGTGCTAGGTAAAGGTAAATGTTCCCTTGCTCGAAAGCCAGTCGAATCTGACTCTAGGGTTGCGGTGCTCATCTCCGTTTCAAAGCCGAAGAGCCAGCACTGTCCGAAGACGTTTCCGTGGTCATGTGGCCGGCATGACTAAACACCAAGGTGCATGGAACGCTGTTACCTTCCCACTGAAGTGGTCCCTATTTATCTACTTGCAATTTCTTGCTTTTGAACTGCTAGGTTGGCAGGAGCTGGAACTAGAGACGGGAGCTCACTCCATCATGCGACACACTCGGGTCTCGAACTGCTGAACTACCAACCTTCCACAGCCTGCAGTTCAGCGTCTTAACCACTTGAGCTGCCGCAGCTAGTGCTACAGACAGACTAACATGGCTACCCATCTGGATCAGTCTCCTGAAAATCCTGTTGGTCCCTAAAGTGCTACTGGACTCAAATCTAGCAAAAACAATACAGAATAACAATAGATTCAGGTGGGTAACCGTGTTGGTCTGAAGCAATGGAAGAACATGAGTCCAGTGGCACCTTTAAGACCAACACAGTTTAATTCTGGGTATAAGCATTCCTGTGCATGCACACTTCAAAGCGCTGCCGGACTCAAATATAGAAAATAACAACAATAATAAATATGCTGGGTCCTGGAGCTTTCCTCATTTCGGCTTTTCTGTTTTGCTACTGGACTCTTGCTGTTTTCTACTGCTACAAACAGACCAGCATGGCCACCCATCTTGATCCATCTCCTGAAAATCCTGTTGGTATCTCAGGTGTCATTGGACTAAAATCTAGCAAAAATAACAAAGAATAACTATGTGCTACTGGACTCGAATCTAAAGAAGATGACGAAGAAGACAAAGTAGTGGTGCTGCTGCTGGTGGTGGTGTCTTGGAGCTTTCCTCATCTGGGCTTTTCTATTTTGCTACTAGGAGCTGCGGTGGCTCAAGTGGTTAAGACGCTGAACTGCAGGCTGTGGAAGGTCAGTAGTTCAGCAGTTCGAGACCCGGGTGCCACATGACGGAGTGAGCTCCTGTCTCTAGTTCCAGCTCTTGCCAACCTAGCAGTTCGAAAGCAAGAAATTGCAAGTAGATAAATAGGTACCACTTTGGTGGGAAGGTAACAGCTTTCCGTGCGCCTTGGTGTTTAGTCATGCCGGCCACATGACCACGGAAACGTCTTCGGACAGCGCTGGCTCTTCGGCTTTGAAACGGAGATGAGCACTGCAACCCTACAGTCGGACTCGACTGGCTTTCGAGCAAGGGAAACCTTTACCTTTTTACCTTTATTTTGCTACTGGATTCTTGCTCTTTCCTACTGCTACAAACAGACTTAACACAGCTACCCGTCTTGATCCATCTCCCAAAAATCCTGTTGGTGTCTCAGAGCTACTGGACTCAAATCTAGCAAAAATAATAAAGAATAACTATGTGCCACTGTACTCAAATCAACAACAACATCAACTATTGATGATGATGATGTCGTCATGGAAGGCTTTCATGGCCGGAGTTCATTCGTTGTTGTAGATTTTCTGGGCTGTATGGCCGTGGTCTTGGCACTGTAGGACCTGACGTTTGGCCAGCAGCTGTGACTGGCATCCTCAGAGGCGTAACACAGGAAGGTGGAGTCCTCTCTGCGTCAAGGTGAGAAGAAAAATGGTAGGCAGGTCATTTATATCTACTCAGGAAGGTGAGGTACGGTAAAGTAGATATAAATGACCTGCCTACCATTTTTCTTCTCACCT